GATTTTATATATATATATATATATATATAGTGCATATTCTAGTTAATAGTCTGCGCTCAAGATCATTTTAGAGCATCTTCAGTTCTGCTGTACTAGCTTGGTTATGGCACACCCATTTGCTATGTCCACATCAATTTGGTAAAAAGAAGGAAGAACAGCACTGCTACCACCGCAGTCAATCCAACCGCATCAGACTCCTGAATGATGTACACCTCGATAATCCTGGCAAACCACATCTCAGGAGTGGGTATATAAATCAGGCAATGGGCAGAAGGGAATACAAATTCCTTCTCCTCTTACTATTGCCCACTTCTGCAATAGTGGACTTACGGGAGAAATAAAAAAATAAAGTAAAAAAAAAAAACTTAGGGAAGAAATAGAGCCAACAAATTGTTGTGTTGTGTTATGTCACTTCTCTCACTTCTCCAAGGTTAATTTGGAAATTGGTGGCAGATACTTTAGATGCTGACTTTAAATAGAGCCACTGCAATTTTCCCCATAGGCGACCGCATGTGTAATGGCAAAAGCTGGGTTTGAGTATCACTTCCCCTGGCATTAAATCAGAGACAGAAATGTAAGCCAATGGGAATTACGTCCCTGATACTGATGCCTTTAGAAGTCTCCTACTCACCTATCAAATTCTGGGGCTATTAAGGGGAAGGGCATCTAGTATCCTAAAGCTCTGTTTGTTTTCGTAAACAACTCCCGAAGTTCATGTGCAGTTCATCTCTTTTTATAACACATATTTAGACAGTCATGTTTTTGGCAATTTTCTACTTTCCAACTGCCAGGCATATTTCTGCACTATAGCACCTGCTCTCTTTTAGTTTTGATTCTGAAGCACTGGTGACATGTGTCAGCAGACACTTACTCTGTCTCTAACTGGAGATTCAGGCATGGATATTTTCAGTTGAAAGAAATATCTCTGATGCTAAAGAAGATGATCATTCTAGTATCAGGGGAATTTTTCAGTAACAATAAAGAAAATAATTTAGAGGCATTTTGTCAAGGCATTCAGAGCTGACTCTGAATAGGAAACAAATTTAATTGAATTTATCTGCTTGCATTAAACGAAAAATGCATCTGTTTTCTAAATGACATAAAAATTGATTGGAGTTACTGCTGATTTACACAAGTGTAAAAATGTCAGAACTACATCTATAGATGCAAGATCTTTTCTTTCTGAAAGAACAGGGAATGAATTCCCTGGGAATACAGGAAACAGAAATTTAATCTTTCAGAAAAATGTAAAATTAAGGCAATCTCGGGGTTCAAATTCAATGACATGATTGACAGAATGTTAATATTTTGCCAGAATATTCCAAAATGGGAACTGTGAATCTGCAATTGGTTTAAGTGAGATTTGAACTGAAAGGTAACCTGACACATCCGGCTTGTTGCCACATACAAGCAAAATCTTGTATTCTTCTTCTTATTGCTCTTCAGAATTAGATTTTATGCGGCAGACAGAAGCTAGTGAATCAGCAGTGTTCTGTCTGGCTCTGCCCTGCCTGATTCCTCTAGAGGATGTGGACGTCTTCAGCTGCATTTACTCACTCACCTGTGAGGTAGACTTTGCCCACCAGGCTGGTAACTGAGTGGGGAGAATCTGCTTCCTTTCTTGGCAAGTATAATCATTGCATTTCTTTGTGAGACCCTTATTTAAGTTTAGCAAGACATAGAACACTTATTTCTTTGGGTAGATGTTATCTTCTGGCTATGGATAGATGTCCATACCAATTTTATTAGCTTTCTCAGCAGCTTTTAAAATAGTGAAAAATGAAGGGCTGTGAACTTTTGTGCAATATTTGGTGCAAAACAGATAAGCAGCTCCAATCATTCACTTCAAGCTCAGTGCAGAAGGACATGAAAAACACATCTCACTTCTCACTGAGATTTGTACTCTGTACTGAGGTTTGCAGGGGTCCTCACTGTTCTCGTTGCTCATCACAGATTCATAGACAGTGGGGAGCTTCTAAAACGATTTTGTATGCTTTGGTATGCTTTAATTTCAGATTGTAGCCTGTGCGATAGCTCCCTAAATGTCCCAAAAGGTCTCAGCTTTCATTTGCTTTGTTGACGAATTAGGAAGAGGAAAGCTCCAGCTACATGCAAGAAAAAACACCATGAGAAATCAATGGGGTTATAATTGCTAGTCCTATGCAGGGGGTATCTCCACCTTTCTTAAAAGGTTCATCATCACATTTTCTGATTTCTGAGAAAGCAGCAAATCCTTCCCAATTACTTCCAAGATGTATACCATGTATGAATTCAGTGTATTCAACTTTCCTACTACTTCACAGTAGTACTGTTACTGATACACTCAGTGTAAATCAAACCCTCTCTACTTATCTTTATTATATACAAGGCTGAGAAAGGTATAAAGAAGTGTGGGTTAAAAATCTGAAAGCCCAGAACTTTAGATCAGATTTAAGTATGATTTTTTCTCTTTATGGGAGAGTAAACCAGTAACATTTAACAAAACCCAAATGATCTTTTCTTCCCCGAGGAAGAGACCAAAACAGAAAGAAACTCAAAAAAGTCAGTCCTGTGCTAAGATTTGATACGACAAGTTTAAGCCTCAAATTGCTATACTTTAATGTCCAAATTGCAAATCAATGAGGAAAAAAAAAACTTTCTCAAGCAGTTGCTGAAAAATTTATTACAGCAGTTGCTGAGAGACAAGCAGCAAAAGGGCCTTTTCCCAGTGATTTGAGAACAACCTTTACAGTTATAGAAATTCACTGTGAAGGGATTATATGTGTGATAAAATCTTGCCATAATAGTTTCTAATAGGTGGAACTTAACTTTTAGGCAACTGAGCATAAATTATAGTAGCTTAGAAACTCCTCAAAATTACTTCGGGCCTTACTTTCTCTTTAATCAGAACACCAGGCAAGGCTATCTATTATTCTCACATATACTGAGTCCAGCACAGAGCCACAAAGATGATGAAGGGAATGGAGTATCTCCCGTACGAGGAAAGGCTGAGGGAGCTGGGTCTCTTCAGCCTGGAAAAGAGGAGACTGAGGGGTGACCTAATTAATGTTTATAAATATGTAAAGGATGAGTGTCAGGAGGATGGAGCCAGGCTCTTCTCTGTGACATCCAGTGATAGGACAAGGGGCAATGGGTACAAACTGGAGGTTCCACTTGAATATGAGAAAAAACTTCTTTACAGTGGGGGTGACAGAGCACTGGAACAGGCTGCCCAGAGAGGTTGTGGAGTCTCCTTCTCTGGAGACATTCAAAGCCCGCCTGGATGCGTTCCTGTGTGATCTGATCTAGGTGTTCCTGCTCTGGCAGGGGGCTTGGACTAGATGACCTTTTGAGGTCCCTTCCAATCTCTAACATTCTGTGGTTCTCTGATTCTGTGAAACACTGAATATTGTGAATTTACTATTTTTTTTTCATTTTCATAAAATAAATTTTATTGCCTAACCTCTACTTTCCTTTGAGGGGTTTCCCTCAAAACGGTGTCTCTCTACTACTTCAGGTAGCAGAGCACAACCCAGGCACAAAGATGAACCATTCTCACTGGGGAATGGGTTAAGTAAACAGAGTGCTAACATGATAAATCAAAGGGAATCCTTATTGCCAGGTAGAAAAACAGCTGCTTTATTTATTACCACTATTTATTACTAGACTTTTTTATCATGGCATCTGCACAAAATAATTTCATTAGTACACTTACTCGTAAATGATCACCTTTGGAGAATTCACATTTGTGGTTCCAAAATAGGATGAATAAAACAGAAAAGAAAACAGAGCTGCACTGGGCATTTCAGATTAGGTTTTCATAGTGGGAGATCTACTGTTTGTAGGAACTGTCTGTGTTCAGTGTGATAGATCATGAGACGCCTGCACTCTCAGTGCAGCCTCTCATAACCAAGACAGGGATATTCAATGACTGTTGATGCACACCTACATACGCAAGCTTGCTTCACCTATGGTCACTCGCCTCCAATGGCATGGTTAGACAGGGGTCACTCAGCAAGCCAAGAGTTACCATGTTCATTCAAAACTCATCCTGAAACCTGGAGAGAGAATCCAGAGCCCTGGCAGCTACAGACTGGAAAATGTTATCTGACAAACTAGGTTGTCAGGAAAAGAAATTTGACATCAGACAAGGTGACTAGCATCACTCTCTTAGTTCAAGTCAGACTGTGCGTGGCCATTTTTCTAGAGCACAGAGAGAATACAGTCAGCCTACATGTCTCAGAAGACTCCTCACCTACTTTGATACCTCCTCCTTGTGCATCTCATTCTCAGGGCTCCAGCTTCTTGACATGTTTCCAGATACAGTGCTCTCTATACTAACCATTCTGATTTTGTCCCCTCCGTGGTGTCTACTCTACATAATACAGTGCTGAAAGACATTATCATCACAATCATGAAAAATATACAGAAGCTGTGATGTACAATTGCAGAAGAGACATCGAATGTGGTTTTACTATTCATACGTGGCTAGAATACAAATTATTTTTCTGGAAGTGGGAAGAGGAAAGGAACAGACTCTTCACACCCATGCATGTTTCTGGTTTGCTTCTGATTTGGTGCAAATTAATGAATATTAAATTGGTTCCAGTCACTTGGGAAATTTTTATTCAAAAATAAAACCAGATGAAGTGAAAAATTTTCTGTTTGCTTACCTGGAGCACCATGGTGAGCAGGTTTCCTATTCAACTGGGTGACTTTTTGGTATGTTTTTTGCAGTTTTTTTGGTTTTGTTTAGGTTTTGGCAAACAAGCAGTCTTCAGTGTTTTTACAGCAGTGGCTATTACAGAAACTATGTCTCTTGCACTTCTTATCTTGGAGGGTGGACAAAAAAAAACAAACTGAAAATAATACTACAATGAACAGTAAATGATGAATGGATTACAGTACAAAAAACAGTGTAAAAAGGAAGACAAGTTTAAATATTGTTGTGTATGAAAGAGATGAAAATAATACAAGGATGAGAATAAGTAAAATGATAGGCTGGAACATCTGGGAAAGTAAATACAAAGACAAAGAAAACAGTCAATTAATGGAATAGCGAGTCCAAAGTTTCAACAAAATAAATAGTGAATCAGACTATGCTTGTGGAGGGACCAAGTGCCCATCTCCCATTGACTTCAGTAGGAGTTCTGCATGGTCAAGCCCCAAAATGCCCAATTTAACTATTACTGCTATTTGTTTAGAGAAAATACTAATTGGTTTGCTTTAAATTTGTATAGGCCCATGCAGTGCTCTGCCTTCAAGCTAATGGGAGCTCTACAAGCTCAGAGCTATTGCTAGATCAGAAAGTGAGCATGCTAAATGTCGTTTCTGTTTGATTTCATGCAATACATGTATAGTAATTGATTAGCTTTAAACTCACTGCGTCTGTGACTTTCTGATACAAGGAAACAAAAGACTAATTAGTCGGCATAGGAATAAGAAATAATAGCTTCCAGCTTCACCCAGTAACTACTTTGACTATAAACTAGCAGGACAGCACAAAGCAAATTAACACAGCAAGAGACTTAATAAAACATTGGATAATACCATGAGCAATAACAAGATTTGCCAACTATAGGACTGCATGATAAGATAAGGGTAGGTATTTTTCATTTTTCATGGCAAAAGACCTTGAGTCAGCACAGAATTTGCTTCCCAAAGCCTCTCTGGAACAATTCTGCATAAAAACAAGCTACAGAAAAAGATGCTAGTCACTGCTGCATGTAAGCAGTGACCCATCAGCCTTCAACAAGATACAATCAATTACAGCAGTTCCAATATCCACACTACCATGTGGCTCTGTGAATCTGTAAAGTAGATTTGCATAGTTTATTTTTATCTGTGGTTTGTCATACTCTCTATAATTTCAGAAATTTAATGTTTCCTTCAGTTTAAAACTAATAAGGCTTTCTTTTTATTCATTTAACAGGAACCCAACCATTAAGAAAACAATCATGTTAATTTATGTGCCAAAAATGCTGGCTGCACTGCCTTTACTGGTGATGAAGGCACAACTCTAGCAAATCCAGTTGCAAACCCAGAAAAGAGTAATATCGTCCACCTCCTAGAACATAATTCTTTTAATTTCAAGGAGACCAGACTTATTCACTGTTCACAAAACACCCCATTGGTAGAACAAGTTTTCATATGGCCCGATGAGGATAAAAAGTAATTTAAGAAATAGTGATTTTTGTCCACTGTCTAAAATAAAGAATTTTGATGTGCCATACATTGAATTTGAGGCTTAATTCACTTGGCAGAGCCTTTTTACCTGTAGGCCGTAATAAGTAAAAGTCTACCTGACTCACTGACAAAGGTTCATCTGCACTTCGATCATCCGAAGACTTTGGAACTTCGAGTCTGTCGATGAAAGCCTGGAGCTCTTTCCTGAAGGCCTTCATCTGTGCGTTGATCCGGTAAAGAAGCTCATGCTCACGTATCCTGCTTCCGTCGTCTTCCTCATCCATCAGTCCAAAGAGGTCCCCATTAGCTACATAAATTCTCGCCTCAGTTATGATGGTGCTTGTGTCAGAAATTAAGCGATCTATTGTCTTGCCCAGCCGCTCAGCTTCAGAGCGAATGTCCTTCATCTGCTGCCTGTCAGTGAAGCTTTTCTGCCACCCAGATGATGTTGGATAAAAAGACCTTGTGGGTGTCAGGCACCGAATGTTACGCACCTCTTCAGAGTCACTTTCCCCACCAATAGGGCCTTCTCTTTTTCGGTGAGGGGGGCGGGAATCATCATCACTCTCTTTCTTTCCTGCATCACTTTCTGCATCACTGTCTCTGGGACTGCCACGGATGCCAAGATGAGAGGCCAAGTCATAGCGTTGCATGTTGGACATTAAGACTCTGTTCTCATACTGGAGTTGCATGACTTTGCCACTCAGCTCATTGATCTGCATTCGTGCAGCTTTTAGCTCCTCCTGTAACGCTTCTGTCTTGGCATTATCATGGTGCCTAGAGCTCTCATGGGCCCCAGACTTGTACTTGTATTTGTTCAGCTCAGCTGTTATGCGCTTGTTTTGTTCTTCCAAATCAGCTACATTTCTCCTCAGCAACTCTGTTTCATCTTCTACTAGCTGCAAATGTTGTCGTAGTTCTGACAGGGATTCACTCTGCTCTCCCAGGAGCGGGTTAGCAGTCCCTGAGAAATCATCTCCTCTTAAATCATCAAGCTCTGCTTTCAGTCCTCTATTTTCTACTTCTAGTTCCACTATTTTCCTCCCAAGAATGTTTGCTTCCTCCTCCACAAGTCTCAATCGAAGCTTGAGTTCAGCTTCTCTTGTGGTAGGTGGCCCACCTGCTTCACCTTTTGGCAAGGGACTGTCCAAATCCCCATAAAACGATCTGTATTTTTGCAGCTCATGTTCAAATCTGTCTTTCTCTTTATCAATTTTAGCCATTTTCTTCCTCATCAAGGCTGCTTCTTCCTTGACAAACTGTAGCTGGCATTTCAGGTCTTCATTGTCCTCCTTAGAAAAAGAAAAAAGTAGTATTTGAAGAAACTTGATGCAAAACAGGAGACCTCCAGCGAATGGTCTTAAATTACAAGATTAACAATCAAAGGTACATAGCTTTAGATATTAAGAGGTTTTCCTGCAAACATTTTTTCACCAATCAATAAATTAAAGAGAGGGAAATAAATGCTTAAATTTAAAAGAGGGGAAAAGACTTAAAAGAGGGAAAAAGACTATTTTACTTGCAACAGAAGTTTGCACAGTCCCCAGAAAATACATTGTGGGGGTGGAGGGCTTGTAAAAAATCCTTATGTTTTCCAGGCTTGTAACACTGTAATAGACTTCACTGTTCAAAAATCCTCAAGTCAGCATACAAAGGTCCTATAATCTCATTTCACTGGTGCTCCCATTTATTTATTTTGCCTAAAATATAGAGTATGTGAAAGCTGGTGGGTTCTGTTGCAGCGCCAGCGGTTTGTTTAGGTGGTCCTTGACACAGTGTTTTCTGACTGCAGAACTGGGACAAGAGCTCTCCATTTCACAGCATATAGGAAAACAAAGAGCAAAGCAAACAAGCAAGCAAAGTGCAAATCTACAAATCATGTATATTATTTCCATAGCGTCCCTGAAGCCTCCACAGGAGAATGCAGGCTACTGTTACTACAACATACCTCTGCTGGTGTCTGCTGTGACTTTTTTTCTGATTTTGGTAGGTCTTTGCTCCCTCTTCTCTTCAGTGATTGCTGCAACAACAACAAAATGACATGCACTTAATATTCCACTAAAGAGGTATATAATTCAGTCACTCTTTTTAAAACATAGCAAGTCAATGCAACTATAAAGGAATTAATGTCTCGTATTCCTTGAGATTCCTTGAGATACAGAGGGGAGACACAGTTGCCCAGAAATGACACAGCAATGTTATACAAGTATTAGTTTAATCAGTCTGTTACCTTTTCTATTCAACACATTTTAAGATTAGTGCATAATGTATGTTTAGAACATGACAAGAGAAGTAAGAAAGCAGATATCCCAAGTGGTAATTTACAGTTGGGAAAGCCGAGGCAAGCAGTGAAACCCAGCTTGCCTGTTTGATATTAACCCTAATGGGGCCAAGGCACTTAGAGATGTGTCTAGCCAGACATGCAGCCTTAGCCTTTGTGGTTGGCAAGCTACATAAAACAGTGTCACTGAGATCCCATCAGCTGAGTTGAGTGTACATCTACAAGGACACCTTTCTCTGTGTCCCACCCCCAGGCTTTGAGCTTGCAGTATACTGCAGTCAGACCTCTGTAGGTGTACACTATGGACAAACTCTCTGCAGGCGAGCTCACGCATAGATCTGGTCACTAGGTTTGTTCTGTTTTCACAACTTATTCAAGTAAATACAATTTAAAACTGCTTGGACTACAAAGTCCTTGTGAGACACAGAGCATATTAGCTTAAGAACAGCACCACACAAACACACGTAGGCACCACCATATCAGCAAGCTTCTCTGGTGTCTTCTCATCTGCTATGTGGCCAAAGTGAGTAGAAAAGAAGCTCCTGCTTTTAGAGCAGGATGCATTGGGATTGAAGCCTACTAGCATACCCAGCAAAAATCTTGTAATTGCTGACAGTAGAAAGTTTGTTAGTAGGCAAGCCGTAGCAGGGGAAAACAACCACAACCATCCCACTGTCAACACTCAATACAGATCACCAAGAAAACAGTAGGGGAGAGGAAAGTGAGTGAGAGCATATGTTAATACATAACATCCCACTTGCAGCTGTTCCCAGTTTTTATGTTCTCCAGGTAAAATGCAGGCCCTGAGGCAGGGCAGTGATAAAACCAACGCCATCTCCCTTTGAGATTATTCTCTGGTAGAAGCATTCTTTGTGCCACTGAGAAACATGCATTTCCCTGCACCAGCCAGGGCAGAATCCAGCTGTACCTAAAAGCCATCCAGTTGCACACAGTGGGAACTAAAATATGTTCATAATCTTCAAGGAACAGAGTATAGTGGGCAACTATGCTGTACATAACAATCCTGTGCTCTATTTGCCTGCAGGTACCAATTGTTCTCTTTCTTCTGCAGATCATGCCCATAACAAATACTAAGCTCGTGGACTGCTCACTCCAAATGAAAAAGTCAACGTCACAGAAATGGCTAACATAAAACTGAACAGCCACAAGAGATTACTTCTCTTGAGGCTTTTTGCTCAAATTTACCATAGAATCGTGTAAGAACTAAGAAAAAAGACCTTAGATTCAGAGTCAGAACTAAGATTTACAGATGGGTCCCCCAAGAACCAGAATTTAAATTTTTATGTCTCTTGCAGAAAGGTTGATCATTAGCTGTGATAGTGAGGTAGCTAGATAGCCGTGACGACTGACAGGCTTCTAAAGGAATCCAGAAAAGACACAAAAAATAGTTCAATTAACTCACTTTAGGATCCAGTCTACAAACAAAATTATTCTTCTCCAGTGTCACCCATCAGTTATCCTATTGCAGAAATGGTACACGCATGTAAAGGTTTTTTGGTTTTCTTTTTGAATTAGCAGACTTATAGTGTTAAACTTCCAGAGGAGGAGCTTCCTTCCCTTTACTATTAATTATACCAGTATGTATTATCACTTTGAAAAACCCTTTTCAATTCAGTTAGCACTGCAAACTTCTCCTTCCTCGAGATTCTTGCCAATATCACCCACTGATAAAATAACTAAGGGATAGTTAAACTATACTTCTGCTTGATTATCTAAATGCCTTCTATTCACCCTGCCAAGCTCAGCATCTCTCCAGATATAAAAAAGTTCTGAAATGCTGAGCTGCAACTTCTTGTGTACCCTACAACTTTTCAGAAAGCAGGAGATATATGAAGTTTCCTCTGCCAAAAAAAAAAAAAAAAAAAAAGGCAAAAAGCAAAACTACAGAGAGCAAAAAGTATTTTTCTAGGTTTGACAAAAACCAAAAAATCTGTTTTTCTCCTTTCTCTCTATATCTTTTGTGTTCCCTTTTGGTAGTCAGGATAGCAAGATTTTAATTACAACAATAGTTGTGGCTATGTAATGACTAGGTGCTACTTTCTATCCTGCTCTACTCAAATTACAATAAACCATCCACAGAGCTTGTGTTATTCACCACTGAAATGATGGTGTTTAGCAGCAAAATTTCATAGCAGAAAGCAATGAAGAACATGCATAACTGAATTAGCAGGATGACTTGGGTAAGTGGATTAGGCCCAGCTGGAAATGGTATGATGTCTTTTATTGTGAAAAACATATTCTGATCACTAGAGGTTAAGATCTCACTTGCACGTCTCAGCTGACAGATGACATCTGCAAAATCACAGTGCCCCATAACCTCATGTTAGGTCACTGAGGCAATACTCATACTGAACAAAGAATGCCACATATCAAGCACTATATTCTGCTATAAATAATAAATTTTTGAGAGTTTTTCCAGAGGTAGATTTCACAATTTACAGTGTCTACTCTTGCTATCATTCCCCTCAGGCCTTGTACCAGTCTACTCTTACAATCCAATTTTCAACATTAAATAATTTATTGCCGCTAATAAAAAGAAATTCATCAAAGCAAAACAAAAAAAGGAAAAAAAAAAGTTCAAATAAACATACGGCAAAACCAAAACCAGCAACCTAGACTCCTGCAAGTGAATATTCATATTATCCATGCGACTGGACACTATCAAAATTGTCAGTATGTTGCTTGTTTTGACATACTAACAAATGTTAGACAGGGTGAGTGAGTGATTCAGCTACCTTCATGTACAAAATACCTTTTTTCGAAATTTTTTGTGTTAGATCACCTTTTAATATAATTCAGCACTTGTTGATCCTTTTCCCATGTCACAGTCTACCATGAAGCATACTGTAACGCCACTAAAAGCCACCTCTGCTGTTTTTTCAACTGCAGCAAAAAAATCTGCCCCTCATACTCTAGAACTGGCTTTGAGAGTTTGTTGTGAAGGATAATTTGAGGGTTCAGACAGTTTTTCTGCTATATAATTTTAAAAATCACATTCAGTTCCTTCTAATTATTATGAGTCAAAAAAGACAAAGGTAAAGTAAGAAATAGATGACTGCTTTTGCACTATCTGATCAGTAATGCTTACTAGACAGCGCTACGGTTTTAATAACCTTGAATCAAGTTACCCATCTGCCAGAGAAAAGAATGAGCAAAAAATGCACATAATACTGTTTCTACAATGGGGAGTTTGCTAAACTGCTCAAGTACTAATGAAATATTTCAACTGCACTGGGGATAAGAAGACCAGTAACGGGGGCATGTATCATTATATTGTATAATCTCTGCCTTCTTCTGAAAGACTAGGAGGTAAAACCGGGTTTGATGTGAACATTCTAGCATTCACTGTAGCCACCAGACATGGGGCTTCATGTGTGTTCTGGCAATGTTGAGAAGTTTCCACCCTCTAGATAAGATCACAGATGATGCTGGTATTATATACACACCAGATAACATGCAACGGGCAATTCTGATGTGCTGTTCAGCAGCACCAGTCCTCCAGTGACCTTCACTGGAGTTCATCCAATGTCTTGCTGGAGATGCTAAGTACTTCTCAAGACCAGATGGTATAATCCCTCTCTTGCCAGCGCTAAACTGCAAGCCAAATGTGCAGTCCCAACATCACCTGTGACGCTCAGTGCTTCTCAGGTGTAAAAAGACCTGAAATCTACTCTGAGAGTAACACAATGCGGAAATAATAGCATCACACTCCACTGAGTAGGAAAGCTGTAAAATGAACTCAGATTCTCAGTACCTGATTCTAAGCTACAGTAAATCACTCAGCAATTAATAAAGAAGCCCTAGCAAAACATACCAAGATTTTTCAAGATGCTTAGGTTTGATTATTTCAAGCCTGATCGAGGGGTTTTATGACCTAAAAATCAATGTAGGCAACCACAGGAGGAATTCCTGACACATAAAGGAATTTAGGGGTGCACAGAGGCCCCATAGCAGCCCTTATCCCTCCTCCCAGAGCAGGCTAAGGCAAAGGGTGTGCAGCTTCTTGAATCTCCACAGCTGCAACCAAATCTCATCTGCACAGAACTGTACCGTACACGGTTTCAGTTAGCTGCCTCTCAAGTGCTGTGACAGGTCTGCAGAGCTTTCAAAAATCAGAGCAAACCTAACACCATCTTTACAGTCCTTGAAAAGTCACTGAATATTGAACAACTTTTAGGCTGCACAAACTTGCCTCTGTCTGGCACAGAGTGACTATGACCAGGGAAATGGAAATCTGCCCTAAGACTCTCTCTGCATTTTCCCTTCAGTCAATATGGTTGATTAGCTCATGGAGCTGGATCAAAACAAATGTAAGACAGAATTTTTAGTTTACTGCCACCAACTCTAATTCAATGTATTAGAATATGTAGTAAAAATTAAATGGACACCATCCATTTTGACAAATTGAAAATGCGTATTGTCCTCAAAAAAAAAAAATCTTTGTTTTTAAAATGTCTCATTTATTTTGCAACCCATTTGCCAGCAACAAACTCAAGACACTGCCTTTATCTGTCACTGGCACAAGTATACAGAATGATACAACCTTTTACTCCTTCCATTCCTCTTCAAGGGCAGAAGGAGTCCTGAGTATTTCAGTATTCTATTGCTTGCAAAATTAAGGCAGGAAAGAAAAAGCAGGGGATAAGTGAAACACAAAGAAACACAGCACCCCTGTCCATGAAGCAAACACTAAGCATATCCCTACTAGGTCTAGCACT